TGATGCCTTCATGTCAACAAAAGACAAGAACTAGGGAGCTGGAGAGGAAATTGGATTAGAGGAGAAAAGAAAGCAAATATTCTCACACTTAGGGTAAGGAATTAATTTTTTTTCTTTTCTTTTTTTAATGGATGAACTGGGGATTGAACCCTGGACCTCGTGCATGCTAAGCACATGCTGTATCACTCAGCTAAACTCACCTCCCCAAGTTAGTAATTTGATGAAGTGTCATAGTTGGTTCCAAGCTTCCTAGCAACCAGGGTGAAAAGGGAAATAGGTAACTGACAAGCTCTTTTCATCAGAATGACATTCTTAGATCTCGAATCATCCCTGGCATCAAGTCCTGAAAAGGGAAGGCTCAACTGCCTGAGGAACCTTTACAGACACCTCCTTCCTTGTGGAGGAAGAGGCATAGCATAGCCTCTCTTAGCGGTGATGATCTTGGGCCTCCGAGTCAGAACAGGCTGTGTGACCACAGGCGAACTGACTGACCTCTTAGAAATCACACCCCAACCACACACACACACACACACACACACACACACACCCTCAATGGATACCATTGAATGGGGACGAGAGAGGTCCCTGCATCTGGGGTGCTGTGAGGAGTGGAGGAACAGGGCGTGTCATGTGCTCTGCACAGAGAAAGAGCGCAGCAAACCCCAGCTGGCCCTGTTTTTGCTGTTGCAATTGTTATCAACTTGCCTCTCATCCAGGGGCTCTGACCTTTGAGAACCTTGCTTTCTTCATCTTCAGAATGGGGATAATATTGTTCACCTTGCAGAGTCCTGGTGGGGGTTAGGAATGATGTGGCATGGGGCCCAGCCAGTCCTGGCTGTTCCCTTGATAAGTGGGCTCAGCAGCTGCCACAAGGTGGGCCAGGGGCAGGGGTTTGGCCAGGATGCCTCTCCCCCAAGCACTGGCACGTCTGCTCACTCTCAGCTCTGGGAGGCAGGGAGGGGGCCCACTTTACAGAGGAGGAAACTGAAGCCTTAAGAGGGAGGGACAGTCCGTGCTTAGTGATGTTGACTGGAACCAGCTCAGGGACCCTACGGGCCCAGTAATGGCCTCCTTTGCTGGGGAGGGAAGTGGGGAGGGGGACATTGGTTGTCCTAAGACCCCTGCTTGGTGGACTGTGGGCAGTGGAGGCCACCCTGTGGGACCTGCTGAGCAGCCTCTGTGTGTGGCTCAGGCACAAGAGCAAGAAGAAAGCCTTCACCAAGGCCTGCAGGAGGTGGCGGGACGCCGATGGCAAGAAGCAGCTGCAGAGGGACTTTGCTGCCATGAAGAAGTACTGCAAGGTCATTCGGGTCATCGTCCACACCCAGGTCAGTGGGTCCACGCCCTGGGCCTCCCCCCCGCCTCCCCCACCCCAGCTTCCAGGAGCCCTGGCAGATGTCAGCCTAAAAATACCATGTGCCTGGGGCACAGGCCCAAAGTGTTGGCTGACTGGCTGGGCTGGCTGCCTGCAGACCCAGGGATGGGATATTGGGGGTCAGTGCACCTGAGGCCTGTGGGGCACTGGCCACACCCAGTGGTCCAGCAAGGCCCTGAAATGGCCCGAAAGTCCTGGATCTCCTGCCAGACATCTGATGTGGAGGGACTGCTGCCTCAACATTGGTATGTGGGGTCTGGCTTCCTGTGAGCTGACAGGTTACCAACACCCTCTGGCTTATTCTAGAACCTTCAGGGAAGCCTTCCCTAGGCTCTGAGTGGTGACCTCCCCCTCTCCACCCACCTCAGTTACACGCACACTTGCAGTTCCTGGTTATGTGTGTTGTTGGTTAAAGTCCATCTCCGTCAACAGACTTGAGCTCCATTGGGGCAGGGTCACAGCTTCTTGCTCACTGTGGTGGCCCCCTCACCCACTGAGAGCCCTGGAGGCAACAGGTCCTCCATATGGACTTGTCAAGCACTATGCTATGACCTGATCCTATCTTTGCGTCCCTCTGTCCGTACAGCCTGTGTCTCACACAGCAACAGCTAGAGATGTTTAAAAATATGAGTCAAATCATGTCATACCCTGCACTTGGAATAAAGTCTGAGCTGTTCCCTGTGAGGCCCATCTGGCCAGGTCCCTGCTCACCTCTGACTCCATCCTGCCCACTCCTCCTTATTTTCCATGGTCCAGACATACTGGTCTCCTTTCTGTCCCACTGACTCCCCAGAATCTTCCCTGCCACAGGGCCTTTGCATATGTGGTTCCCCCTGACCCAAAAGCTCTCAGATCTTTACCTAGCGGTTCCTTTTTGAAATGGATGTCACTTCCTAAGAGAGTCTTTCCTTGACCACCCTTACATGCAGTAACTGTCCCTTCTGCCCTCAATATTCCATCAGAACACTTAGGCCTCTCCAAGAGGCTTCTGTCCCCCAACTAGATGGTGGCTCTGTGAGGGCCAGGACCCTGTCTGCCTCATGTCATGCTGTATCCCTGGTGCGTAGCACAAGACATGGTCCATGGCTGGACCAGAGCATGGGAACATCTGTTGAATGAACACATGCATGAAAGCTAGGGGTCACCAGCTGGTCATGCCATGTGTGCACAAAGTGGGCTGTGACTTTCTGGGAACCAACTGGCCATGCCATGTTGTACAGATGAAGCTGCTGCCCTTCCGGCAGAAGAAGGCCCACATCATGGAGATCCAGCTGAATGGTGGCACGGTGGCCGAGAAGGTGGCCTGGGCCCAGGCCCGGCTGGAGAAGCAGGTGCCAGTGCACAGCGTGTTCAGCCAGAGCGAGGTCATTGATGTCATTGCTGTCACCAAGGGCCGGGGAGTCAAAGGTGGGGCTGGGTGGGGATTGTGGCTCTGGGAAGCCTGCCTGGAAAGAGTAGGGGCCAGGCTGGCCTCTCAACCACCAGCCCCTCCTGTCTCCAGGGGTTACAAGCCGCTGGCACACCAAGAAGCTGCCGAGGAAGACCCATAAGGGACTGCGCAAAGTGGCCTGCATTGGCGCCTGGCACCCTGCCCGCGTGGGCTGCTCCATTGCCCGGGCTGGGCAGAAGGGCTACCACCACCGCACGGAGTTCAACAAGAAGGTCTGCCCGGAGTCCTGGTTGGGGGGATGCCCGGGACCAGACCCCAGTGGGTGGGGCGCATGACCCAGATACTGCCCAGTCCCCAAAGGCTCTGAAATGCCCCTACCAGTGCCTGGGTCTTTAGCCACCTGCTGCCCCAATGTGCCCTGTCCTCCTGGCAGATCTACCGCATTGGCCGGGGGCTGCACACAGAGGATGGGAAGGTGGTTAAGAACAACGCATCCACCAGTTACGACATGACCGACAAATCCATCACACCACTGGTGAGGATGGGCCTGGGGTGCATGTGTGGGGCAGGTGTGTAGGGTGCTTCCCTGCCCCAAGAGCTCAGGCACCAGCAAGCAGCTGCCTGGGTGGACGAAAGCCCTGCTGTTCCTGCATCCTCAGAGCTTCCTCTGAGGCTTGTACCCCAGCTGCTGTCATGGGATGCAGAATGCAGTGGCTCTGACTGACTGTGGTCTCAGTCAGGCTGCCTGGGCTCAAATCCCAGCTGCAGTATGTAGCAGCTGTGGGGCCTGGAGCAAGTGACTTCACCCTCTGAGCCTCAGTTTCCCTCTCTGTAAAACACAGTTCATTGATAAGATAATCACAAGATGCTGCCCTGTTTAGTGATCCAGGGTGTCACCCCAGGCCAAGGGAGTTCTCCTAGGGTCCCCAGCTGCCCCCTAACTCAGCAGCCCCTTTCCTGGACCCACCTTCCCACAGGGCGGCTTCCCCCACTATGGGGAAGTCAACAACGACTTCGTCATGCTGAAGGGTTGCATCGCTGGCACCAAGAAGCGGGTCATCACCCTGAGGAAGGTTGGTGCCCGGTGGTGGGCTGGGAAGTGGGATCCCCATCTGCTGTGGGGGGGGTCAGGGGACTGGCTTGCCCTGTCCTCCAGCCTGCTCCAGGAGGGGTGGGGATGGGGAGGGCAAAAAGGGAGGGGTTCTAACAGACACTGGATGGCTGGGGGTGATGGGGGGGTGGGTGGGTACCTCCTGCCTTGATGCCACCCCTCCCACGGGTCCCCAGTCCCTCCTGGTGCAGCACAGCCGCCGGTCCTTGGAGAACATCGAGCTCAAGTTCATCGATACCACCTCCAAGTTTGGCCACGGCCGCTTCCAGACAGCCCAAGAGAAGAGGGCCTTCATGGTGAGCCCACCTGCCTTGTTCTCTGGGGCTCAGACACCACATCCCACCTGCCCCAGAGTAGGGAAGCTGAGCAGATTGGGGTGGCACGCATGCTCCTGCACTCATCCAAAGGAGGAGGCTTTAAGGAGTCCAGCGCAGGGCACTGATTCTTGCTGGAGAAGTGGGGGAGGGACATGCTGGGAGTGGGCACAGGGCCGACTCTGAGTGACGCAGGCGGCTGGTTAGACCCCTGTGACTAACGCTCCTCTTGCCCCCCGCCCCCAGGGTCCTCAGAAGAGGCATCTTGAGAAGGAAAAGCCGGAGACCTCGGGAGACTTGTAGGCAGGATGGAATGGAGGGAACCTGAGAGAAGCGTGTCAGGATCCCCGCCTGTCCCCCGTCTAATAAAAGTCAGAGGCAACTCTTCCCGCTGTGTCTCAGAGTTGTGGGGCACGGAAAGGCTGGTCAACCGCGCGGTGACCCCGGACTTAGCGCCGTGAAGGGACAAGAAGACAGGGCTCAAGGTGCACCGTGGTCACCACCCTAAACCCAGCGCAGCTCAGCTGCGTCCCCTGGGGAGCAGTGGTGGGGCCTCACGGACGCTGCACACAGGAATGGTCTTTAGTGGTGGGCGGGGCCTGCTGGGAAGGCGGAGGCGGCTGGTCCTCGGGAGGGGCGGGGCCTCCTGGAGGCGGAAGCCAGAACCTTCGTCCCAGGGCGGGATTGGTCTGCGGAAAGGGGCGGGTCAGCCGGGGCGGTCCCTTCGATGGTGTCTAGCGCCTCTGGACGTGATTGGTCCCCTGAGGGGGTGGGGCCTCAGGGCGCTGGGGCCCGTCCCTGATCCTGGAGCTATTGGTATTCGGGAGGCGGGGCGAGGAGGGTGCAGGCCCCCGGCTGTGGGTCGGCGGCTTCACATCTGTCTGAGGAGGCGAGCGAGCAGCGGTCCCGTTGGCGCCATGTCGTTCTGCAGCTTCTTCGGGGGCGAGGTTTTCCAGAACCACTTTGAGCCGGGTACAACCTGCTATCTCCTGGGGCGACAGTGGGGCGGGGACGCCCTCCAGGTGCTGATGGAACCTGGGAGCCCCGGGAATGGGGAGCAAGTATGATAGCGCATGTCGGTAAGGGGAATCGGAGGAGGAACAAGCCTGGGGAGCCCGGAGAGTAGGAGTAGGAGTAGGAGTAGGGGATGGAGACGTTAGAGAGTCTAAAGGGTCGCTGTCCTCGAGGAGGACAGACTTTTGAGTGTGAGCGTGGCCGTTTCAAGAGAAATCTGTGGGGTCAGGGTATATGGAGGTGGTGACACTGTTGAAGGTATATGGGTCAGGATCTGGACTTCAGAAGGATGCCGTGGAAAGTCCCGTCCAGAGGTAGTTCCTGTGACTGGGTTGCCCCTCTTTGGGGCATCCCCCTGATGTTACCCCAAGCCCTTTCTCCTCACTTCCCCAGACCTGCGGGGTAAACTGGAAAGCACAGAACCTCTTGCTGGGATCCAAATGTGATTACCTGGATGCCTTCCTCACCTGCCCAGGGCCCCTGGGGTTGGGTAACCAGGAGTGCTGCCAGGCTGCCAATGGCCGGTGAAGTTTGGACTGCCTGGGCTAGGTAGGAGGGGCGGGAGGTGGGGGTGAGTGGTTGGCTTGGGGCAGGGCCAGCCCTCAGCTCTGGCCTCAGGCTTCAAGAGGCCCAGATGAATCCTCTTCCGGGCTGTGCTGCCTGGTAATGGACTAATTTGGTAAAAACACACCCACAGGGAATTCTAGTGCAGTGATGTACCTGGGGCAGGATTTGTTCCCTGTCGGCCCTCTAGAGGGCCAAGCTATGACATCTGGTATCTAAGATTACCAGCTGTGACATAGGACCCTCTGGGCAAAGTCCTCCCTTCAGACCCTCTGGCTGTGGAACTCCAGGTTGTCCTCAGGCTACTCTGCCCAGCTGGAAACTCCACTCCCACAGCAGCTCCTGGTTCCTCTTTTCTCCCTCCAGTTACTGGTAAAGGCTGAGTAGGTGACAGACTCGGGGCGGGGGGCTGTTTCCAAGTTGGGCAAGAAGGGAAGAGAAGAGTGACTCAGGACCCCTGGCAGTTTCCTGTTCTGCAAGTCAGTTTTGCAACTTTTTTTTTCTCCTCAAAATGATCTTTTAGGGATAGGTTAAACCCTGTTCTTCTCCGTGGCCCTCTGTCTTCCTGGGCACCCCCATCTGTACTGGAGCTCTTTTTGCTGGGATCATTCTTCTCCTGGAGAGCAGGCCATGTGGCTGGGCGTCCAACTCAAGACTTCTTCAAGTAGCAGGGATAGCCTCATGGGAATGGAGAGGGGCTAGTGGTGGTGCTGGCCATGTCAGAGCCCCCACCATATGGGCCCTGTTTGTGGGCGGGGGGCAGTGCTGTGTCGTCATCAGACTGCCCAGGCTCCTTTCCGGCTGTACACCCTGTAGGTGAGCATTTTGTATCACTGAGCCTCAGCCTCCTCATCTGTAAAAGGGAAACACATCTGTGCCACAGGGCTGCTAAGAAGAGTCCATGAGATAAGTGTGAAAAGTGGCTCTCCTGGTCTCTGGCACATGCTAAGGACACTACATGTGAGCTCTGTGGTGTGTGTTCCCCACAGAGCCAATACTCAGGCCTATGTGTGCTGGGTGGGTGAGTGCGTGGGGAGGGTATGCAGCCCACCTGGCAACCGGGGTGGCACTGTCTCCTGGGTTTAAGGATTTGGGAGCTGGCCCCAGAGAGGCCAGCATGAGCATCTCTGCTTTTGCCTCTCCTTCCCCTTCAGGCATCTACGTGTGTGCCAAGTGTGGCTACGAGCTCTTCTCCAGCCGCTCCAAGTATGCGCACTCATCCCCATGGCCGGCCTTCACCGAGACCATCCATGCTGACAGTGTGGCCAAGCGTCCAGAGCATAATCGGCCTGGAGCCATAAAGGTGGGTGGTAGCAGCAGGGATGCATTGATGGGGTGTTGGCCAAAGAGGGCCCAAGAGCTAGCCACCCCTTCCTGCTGCTTTCCCAACAGCTCTCTCGGCCTAGAGTCTGTCTCTTCCAGGCTCTGCCCTCAACCAGGGGAGCTGCCACTCCAGGCTTTTGGGAGAGCCTGGGGTCCTGGGGAGAACAGAGAAACAGGAAGGCTTCCACCTCTCACACCTGCAGTTACCTTGGGAAACGGGCGTGGGGAGGACACCACATGCTGGTGGCAGTGGGAACTACCGCTGCAGCTGTTTCATGGTCAGAAGCTCGCATGGCTGTTTTGTGGTCTTCCCAGGTGTCCTGTGGCAGGTGTGGCAACGGGCTGGGCCATGAGTTCCTGAATGATGGCCCCAAGCGGGGACAGTCCCGTTTCTGAATATTCAGCAGCTCGCTGAAGTTTATCCCTAAAGGTGAGCTTGCCTTCCAGCAGCTGGGCAAAGGCCTGTCGTACATCTGAGAGGCCCAGGGGCTGGGGCATGTTGGTCTTGTCCACTTACAGTGACAAAGCATGGGGGCACCGGAGCACACGCTGCCTCTGTCCTGCCCAGGGCCACTGAATGGTGACCGTGGGGCAGGGATAAGCTGATGTCTTGCCTCCTGTGCCTTGTTGATCACGTGTGCCCAAAAGGGCCATCTGAGAGTGGATGTGGTGAAGGGTTTTCTCTGGAGGCCTAGCCCTTCCCCCTGAGGAGTGGGAGGCAGGGCGGCACAGAGGCTGAGGACCGGGGGCTGTGTGGTTCCTCCTTTGAGTGGAGGGCATGATGGCAGAGCCTCCTTCACAGGCCCATTGAGATCAGCTGCATTAATGTACGCTGGGGTCTGGCACGCAGCAGGAACTCAATAAATATGTGCTTCTGTTGGCAGTGTTTGTTTTGGGAGCTGTTCTTCATTTGTGTGCGTTTTATCTGAGCTCAGCCTCCCCTCCAGCCCTTGGCTCTCCTGCTCATACAAACGCTCACTGCACGACTGTCTGTACCCAGCCACCCTCTGGACTTTTCCCACTCTTTTTTTCTTTTCTTTTTTAAATTGAGGTATAGTTGATTTACAATGTTGTGTTAGTTTTTGGTGGACAGCATAGTGATTCACTTATACATATGTATATTCTTTTTTATTACAGGTTATTACAGGCTATTTAATATGGTTCCCTGTGCTATACATTAGGTCCTTGTTG